CTAGGAAACGGGGCAGGGGAGACCAAAAGCTTCCCCTGAGATGCTTTCTGGAAGGCCTGCAAGGACCCTGTCTTTCTTCGGGAAAGAGTGTGATCATTATGCACAGTGTCTTGCCCTAGATGCCCCCTCTATTCCAGAAGGACTTTTGTCCACTTCATCGCTTGTCTGAGCCTCCACTTCCAGGGCCTCCAACCTGCTCTGTAAGGTACTAAATGTGTAAGTCGACTGCGAGGTTTCAGAATAAAGCAGTCAGCATGGCTCTAACTAGGTTTTTTTAGTCAGCCTTACAATATATTTTGAGAAGGAGGAGAGAAGGGGGAGATTCCACACCAGAATCCAGCACAGTCTGGCCAGCTTTCTCAGCTGGGTTCTTGAAGCACAATGCCCAGCGCTCGCACTGCGCCGTCTTTACCTGTGTTCTGGTGACCGGGACCATCCCATGGTCAGGCCCAGGATGATGTTGGTGCCAAAGCCCTGTTGCCTGCAAACATCACACTCTTTTTTTACCCAGCTGGAGCTGAGTTCAGCCTATTTGCTGAGTTGTCTTTATCCGAGTTTTCCTTATCTTGGCAATTCTACCAGATGTCTTTATGGCCCCTAAATCCTGCATCCTTATGTCCCCTGGCAGTGGGCATCCTTCTTCTCAAGCTTTGTCAGCCTCCCTCTGGGGCTGATATCCGTGAAACTGAGCCTTAAAAAGACAATTGTAGCAACAAGCCCTTTGCTTTCCTAACACCTGGACATCAGTTGGAGCTCGCAGGCTGCTGTGTGTGTCACAGGTGAGATGTCTCTTCTTATGGATCAGGCTTGAAAGTGTGTAAAGCTCAAGCACGAAAGGCCATCCTTTCTTCAGGAAATGTGACCTAGGCCGCAGTTTGCAACAGCTCCGCGCCCGCCCCTTCCTGAGAGCCAGACCGCTGGCGGCGCCATTCCGGGGCTCAGGGCGCTCCCTGCTGGGCCAGAGCCGCCATGACAGCGCGGGCGCCGCGCGGCGGGGGCTGGAGGGCGGGAAGGGGAGAGCGGGCGCGAGGGCCGGGGCGGTTGGTGCCCAGAGCCGGGCTGGCGCTGCTCCCTCAGAGCGTTCCCGGCCCGCGCTCGGGAGCCGTGCGGCTCTTGCTCGGGCTCTGGGAGAAGCGTGCGGCCGCTGCTGGGCCCCGGCCCGCAGATCTCGCTACTGGCCGAGGCTGGCCGAGGCTGCAGTGCCAGAGCTGCCGTGCGGCGTGGCACTGCCAGGGCCTCCCGGCCGGGCCGGGCTGGAGGTGCCCACACCTGAGGGAAAGCCCGCCATGGCAGCGCCGGGGCCGCTCCTACCCCGGGGCCGCCGGCAGGAGCCACGGCTGGGACGTGCCGACAGACCGGCACTGCTTGCACGTCTTCAGTAGATGGAGACGGTGCCCGTGACTAGGCTGCAGGGCTCCAGTGTCAAAGGGCTTTGAAAAGTGTAAATTACTATATTTTTACTACATAGCTTTGTGTATTGTGAAAAATGAGGTACACATTTTTTAAAATGGAATTTAGAAGTCTAATAGAAAGACAAGTAGGATGATAAAAACAGGGCTAGGAGACCTTCTTCTCCTGTTTTAAAGCCTTTATTAGAATCAGCTTGGGGTGGGGGCCCGACGGGGCATGCGCACATTGCCGTCTCTCCCTGAAGCGGCTCGGTGGAGGAGGAGGAATGCGGCTCTTCCTACGGGGTGCAATGTAGGCAAAGCTGGGATCTCCGTCCTCACGGTTAAACCCGGAGTCCCCTTTGGCTCGAAAGTCCAGGGGTATCATCTCTAGCGAGTCTCTTATCAGTCATGGCGAGGAGAGCGGAGTTGGCGGATAGTGTCTTTTGATCCCGACTCCAGGGCACTGCTCTTGGTTTCTTTATTCCGTGTTCCGATGCTCCATGGATCAGGTTTTTCATCCGGGATGGTGTTTTTCGGTGTCTAATTTACAGAAACCCCGGTTGCCATGTTGGGAAGTCTCCGGTCGCCATGTTGGGAAGTCTCCAGTCGCCATGTTGGGAAGTCTCTAACTCCGGCAGTGATAGGGTAGGGGTAACAAGGAACACTTTGACATGGAACTCAGAACCGGAACACTTCTAACTCAGAACCTGGAACAGAGGCTGTAAAGAACACTTTGTCAAAAACCCCGATTTTAGGTAAGGCCTGCTCATATCATAGGAGATAATGTAAAATATACGGATGTGGCCGGGTGTCTCTGCTTTCAGCTAAGAGAGCACACTTTGCTAACAAAGGATTGTCCCTTAAAAGCAGAACCCTACTACATAGTCATAAATTCTCATACAGAATTCAGACATTCTTCTTAAGTTTTAGATGTTCTTTTGTTTAGTTTTTAACTTCCCCTCTTCTCAATAGATCAATCTTCTTGGTGCCACTGGGTTTTACCCTCTCCTATAACGGGTGCAATAAATTCCTCTCTTGGAGGGTTTGGAGGACTGCTGTCTTCATCTGGACAAGGTAATCTAAGAATGCAGGGGGGTCTCTGACTATCTTTTCAGTCTCTGGGTTATATAAACAAAAGTAGTTTGTGCTTAAATATCATGTTATAGCCTAACATCTATATGTATTATACCAGTATTTCTAAGTTTCATCAATAACAGAAATAAAAGAACCTATATTAACGCACAAAGTTTTCTAACCTTACACATATAACTTCTATTTTAATATTTGCAAAAAGCCAATAATAGAGTATGCACTTAGAACATGTAGGAAATTAAGTCACTTTTTTTAAACTTTTTTTTAAAAATCTTCTTCTCCACTTCTTTTTCCAGTTATTTGATACAGTGAATTACGGCAGAATTAGCCCATGGCAGAATTACAAGACTGTAAGTACTATAAAATGAAATAGCTTTTTACATTCTTCTGTCTTTCACAGACTGTTCAAACTTATGTTGGCTTGATGTGACCAGCAGAAGAGTTTTGCTCTGCTTTTAATTCAAAGAATGAGCAGAGCTGGAACCCGTTGAAAAGAATCTCTTCCCTTCCTAGCTTATACAAACTGCCAGGGGTCTTTTTTTCCAGCTCTGGGCTGGAATTTAAAACTATCCCAGCAACAAACACTCCTGTAAATTAACTGATATAAATTAGGGATTTGGTGTGTGTGCTCACTAACCCCTGAGCCCCTCTGAGCTGCAGCTCCCTGTTCTCTTTGCAGACAGAGGCTGGCTATGGATGACAGTCGTGCATCTGGCCTGCTGCACAGCACATCCACACAGGAGCTAAGGGATCATCCTTGCACAGCCCATCCTGGAAGAAGAGAGTTCACTGATGAATCCGACACCGTTTTATGGCATGGCAGCAGAATAAAGGCTAGAATTGGTCCTGTTTCAAGCCCTTTACATTTTGCTGTGTGTAATGGAGACAGGAACTACAAGTTTCCTATTCATGCACAATTTGCTGTCTGAGAGCACACAGTTCTCAAGGTCACAGGGGCTTGCAGATCTGTGTCCAAGATGACTTTAAAACAGAACCAACCTTTATGTGCAACACCTGTGCTTCAAAACTTTACAATACAAATCACAAGCTGATTCCAGCCGTTAAGTGGGAAAAAACCGAACCAAAGAACAAAACCAAAACTCTGATCCCACAAAAGAGACAAACAAAACAACCACCATGAAAAAAACAGAACCAACAGAAAAAGCCCCACAAATCCAGAAAAAGATAAAAATCAGGTGAAGGAGACAGAGATCCAAGACCAACAAATGGGCAGAGGAACTACAGAAAGGGCAGGTAATAAGAAGGGACAGATAAGAAGTGGCTATGGCACCAAACTAGCCAGGGCATCTGAGATACTCTTCTCACCCTTCTGAAAACAATATGACACAAAAATAAACAGAAAATTAATGATGATGTCTGTGATAATGGGGCTCTGCATGTTTAGCTGTAATCTGTCCACTGTGTGTAACTTCTGTTTCCTTGTTAAGTCACATTATGGATGCTAGCTTTGGAACAGGCTGCAGAGAGCTGCAGAGACTGCAGGCCTATGGCCTCTCAGTCCTGCCTGAGAAGCTAGCCTGGGAATTCAAAGGAGGATTTCAAAACAATCCTCAGAGACAGAAAACAACTGCCAGGTGCTGTTTGTCTGTCCTTTTGTTTACCTTGCAGGAGAGGGTCGAGGGGTAAAGTGCCCCTGACCAATGATGGTGATGTAGCACTTTGCTAGCCAATAAGAGTTTCTTCTCTGTACTTTCCACGTATCTGTCTATAAGACAGGCCTGAAGCAATAAACTAAGGAATTCTCGTGTTGTGACCCCCTTGAGGGTCCGTGGTGTTCTTTATCGCCGTTCCCAATCGGAACGACATCACATCATCTGGCAAGGCTGTTTTTCTGTCCAAAGAAAAGACACTGCACTGGAAAAGGAGGCCAGCTTGGAAAATATTAAAAGTGGGAGGTAAAAATATTATGTTGTTTGGTTGGTTTGCTGTTTGCTCACGGGTTTTTTGTCTGTCTTTGAAAGCAGCTCCTTGGATGTTAATGCAAGCAAGAAGTCCTTTGTAAAGGGCTGTCTTTGCAAAAAACCTGCCACTACTGTGATGCAAGACAGAAACAGCTTCCATTGGGCTGCAGCTGGAAGGCTTGAAAATGTGTTCCAGAAACTCGTGATATGACAGAGTCTGATTAACACAATTTAATGTCATGAACTGCAAGATGTAAGTTACCTGATAAAATAATCTGAGTGTTTCCATGACAAGCAGAAGGAAAGGGCTGTGCATTGGAATGACAGGAAACAGCCCCAGAGTGCATGATGGACAAGTTTCCCAGCCAGAGCAGACCAGAAGCACTGGGAGCACAAAGAGACACACCCAGGAGGCCCAGCAACTCCTTGCTGAGGGCCCATTTCATGCAAGGACTGGCAGTCAGAATATTAAATCAATTAAAAATAAAAGGGTGGGGGCAGGCAGCAGTGAGGTGGCCTCAGAGGTTCAGCTCTGCACTCTGCTTTTGTCACCAATATTCTCCTAGTTCCTGTGTTGGTTTTCCTAGAGCATTTGTAGCCAACAGAGCTTCCAGTCCCTTTGATCAAATCAGTCTTA